TTTCTTTCGTATGACGTCGTGACAATTAGAAGTGCATAATTTATTCATCGGCCGGTACGTATACATCATCGCGCCTGTCTCCCCTGACGTGTGAAATTCGCCACGAAGAGGCAGGTTTCCCTCACGGAAATAATTTGTTACATCGATAGCATCAAAGGAAAATGTTAAAGCGTCTTTGTGTGAAAGAGCAGAGGCCGAATATGTTCACTGACACTTCAATTTGATTTGCTACAAGGGACGAATTGACATGGAGAAGTCGTCTAACTCGGAATTCAAAGACATGTCCATTTACTGGTCGGTTTTTTTCTTAAAGGCAGCAGGCATGTGGCTGACGTCGGACGATAAAGAGGAACGCCATAGGAGATACGTTTATGCGCTCAGTGCCTTCGCGCTTATATACGGTATCTATGTGAACACCATTGATTGTTATTACAGCTGGGGTGATCTAAGCGTAAGTACAGACACTGATCAACGATACCACATATATTTCATTATAAAGAACGAAATGACAATGAATGGAACAAAATAAATTTGAGATCTTTTATTTTTTCAGCATTGCATATTCTTGATTAATAATACACTGTGCATTTTGCTTGGTATATACAAAATAACAATTTTAACTACTCAGAGAATGGAGTTCAGGAAGATTGTCCTATACGCGCAGAAGAATTTTTGGCACTCGAATTACAGTGGATACGAAAAGGAAGTTTTTGTGCAGTGTCAAAAATTTTGCAAACTATGGCTCGTAACTGTAAGCTTCCTTACACAAGCCAGCCTAGCGGGCTATGCGATTACCCCTATCGTTTGTTAGTAAAGTAATATCATTTTATTTTATTAACCGTATTCCATTTATTGTCACACCATACTGTACTGTATCTTTCAGTGAATATAGGAAAGAACGAGTCAGACAGAGTACTTCCGTTCAATATGTGGTTGGACTTGCCGCTGTCACTGTCACCGTACTACGAATTAGTATTCATCTTTCAGGTATTATAGCTCACCGATCATCAAATCGACGATCTCATCTTTTAGAAAAGGTTGTCGGATTCGTATGATTGTCGAAATAGAAGCGATCGACATATGTTCGACAACATTTTCCTGTTCGCTTCTCCATTCTTATTCAGTCATGGCGATCAATCAATAATTATTTCGTATAAGTTACTCGTACGAAAAATTGCTATTTACACAGATGTTGTGTGTGTATCAAATCGGGATCGTCTATATCTGCAGCGACACGTTTTTGTGTATATTGAATATACACGTAATTGGTCAACTCCGAATTCTGCAATATAAATTCTTGAAACTTCAGTCACCTACCAAAACGGACTTGATCGACTGCGTGAACGAGGATTACTTAAAGCTGAAGAAGTGCATACGAGATCACCAAGCGCTGATTAAATTCTGCGACATGCTCGAAGGCGTTTTCTCGCTGCCGATCCTTGGTCACATGGTCGTCTTCAGCTTGCTTATGTGCTTCGACACGTACGAGATACTTCTGGTACATACAAACAGTTAAACCTTCTGTCTGTGCATTCAATGATGTGAAACGTTTTTCTAAATTCCAAATGAATTTGAGCAATTTATTATGGGAGACACATTTTTAAGTGTTCATGCAATTTAAAGCTGCATGCAATTATAAGAATCTATTTAAAGCAATTTGTAGTAATTGAGCAATTGTAGAATATCTAAGAGTTATTCAATTCAATTGTCTGTACATTTTTCTCAAAATATTTTTATTTTTGCGTTGTAGGCAGACGGACCCCTCGTGTCGCAGACTATTTTCGTTTTCCATATGGTCGGTAGTTTTCTGCACATAATTTTATTCACGTCCAGTTGCCAAGGACTGATCGACGAAAGTACGAATGTTAGCCTAGCGGCGTACTCATCCTGGTGGATGGATTGTCCGATGAACAAAGTCGGCATAATGCTGCGAAGAGATATTCTGATAATACTATTGAGGACACGGAGACCGTGCTGTCTGACCGCTGGTGGATATTTCCCTGTGTCTTTGGAAACTTCTACTGCTGTACGTCGTTCCTGATCCGTATAATTCTGAGTCTGAAAAACACGTCGAATAATTGTATAAATTTTACTTTTCTCTAAATATTATTTTTCTTGGAAGTTTATTGCATCAAATATTGGAAATATTTTCTTATCAGATCTCTTTAATTTCTGACAGAGAGCTTACGACTCGTACAACGTTAGCACTGATTAAAAATTTGTTCAATTGTATTTTATTTTACAGCTGATGAGTTCTACGATGTCGTACTTTACGCTTATGAGGGAGTCCTCGGCCAAGGAATAGCAAGTCAATCACACAATATAATAGACATAAGATTTGCATATCGATTTCACTACACTTACTGTTGTGAACATTTTTATATTTAGGACACAAAAATTTAATAAACATTCGACAAATGACTGATAATATTATATAGGTCTCGTTGCATGTTAATAGTATCTGTAATGTTCAATGTTAAACGATACAAACATGATTGTAGTCAATACAAGTTGAAAGCAATAATCCAAAAAAAATTAACAACTTTATAATCCACATGCCACATGTGGATTAGGTCCTCATGAAAATATTACAATGCTAGTCTTATTAGGTCGAAGTACAATTAGCAGCATATCCTGCGTGCAGGATGGACCAAAAAATCGTTTCCGGTATCCTATTCGGAGNTGCGCTCAAAGGTGAGGCAGGTGTGTTATTTATAAATTATGCATACGGATCCCGTCCATCAAGCCTCGGTTTTCTTAAATCTTCCTGTCTGTCTGAGACGATGAAGAAAGGGGAAAAGTATAGACGGTGGTATCAAACGTAGTCGACGTGTCATCTAGAAAAGAAAAATGACAGGCGTCTTGAAGGAGGTGAACCACGATGTTTCATCGGCGCGTAAAATAGAAAAGAACAAATCGTCGTCGAATAAAGATTACGCTCTATCAGTAACGACGTTTTTATTAAAAATCGTCGGTCTCTGGCTGGCTAAGGACAGGAAGGAACAACGAACACGTGACTTAACGTTACTCTATACAGTGATAGCAATTCTGTTTGGTGTAGTTGTACAATTCAGGGATTTCTATTTCTCTTGGCCGAATTTTTCGGTGAGTATACATGCTGTTTCTTTATGTATTAAATAATTTCATAACAACGACAGTCCACCTCAACTGGCAAGACAACATTTTTTTAATACGGTATACGTTTATACATAT